CATCCGTGATGTACGATGTTCTATAAAAAATATTTAAAGATAACTTTTTATATTATTTTTTATATAAGTTTATGTATTATTTAAATAATTAAATTTTTTATTTATTTAAAACTGATGATATAAGTATATCCTTAATATCTATTAACAGTGGTGACGTGGCAGTGTCCGATTGGACTTATGGCGCAAACTCTAATTGGGAGGGCAATTTCGTTATTTCAGGTGAGAATGAACCTGGTGTCCGGTGCTATAAATATCTCCACTTAAACATTTCCCACCCCATATTTTGCGTTGGTTTCAAGCTGTGTTTCTCTATCCGGTTCTGCTGAATCTCTCTCTCTCGCGCGGTTGCTCTGCAGATCCCTCTGCGGTTGTCTCCAAAGGTGATTCAACAATCTTAAATAATCTCTTCATTTTTCTGAATTTTTGTTTGCTATAGCTAGTTTTCTAGGAATCAAATCCAATGCGTTTGGAAAATACTCTGTTTGGCTGATAGATTTTATCCAATTGTGAAGATTCTATGTAAAGTCGCATGAAATTTCTGCGTTGACGACTATTTGACTGGAGTTAGGCTCCTGAGGATCGAATTTTGATAGTTTTGTTCTTTTTTGTTCTGATCTGAGACTTTCTTGATTAATACTTCTAGATCTGTTGTTCTCGCTTGTTTTGTATATTTCCACCGGTTGTATGGAGTTTGATGGAGAGATGATCTTATGAAAACTTCAATTTATTTTGTTTTGTATAGCTTCAGATCTGTTCGATCCTATATCGCGTTTCAAGCATTTCTATTTTAAATAGTTGCATTGGCTCAGATTTTGTTAGTTTAATTTGATAAGCTGACATGGAGAGCTTTGCATTTTATTATAGACTGTTGATCATAATTGTGTTTCTGCTTGGATAATTTGAATTTGTTTTGTCTGACTGGAATGCTTTGTGGTTGGTTCTCAGGGATCAATAGCTATAGAAAGAAATGGGGCTTACATTCACAAAGCTTTTTAGCCGGCTTTTTGCCAAGAAAGAGATGCGAATTTTGATGGTTGGTCTTGATGCTGCTGGTAAGACCACCATTTTGTACAAGCTCAAGCTTGGGGAGATTGTTACAACCATCCCTACCATTGGTGAGTGATCTTGTCTGAATTATATATATATATATTTTTCCTTTCTTTAACTTTAGAAGTGTGGAATTTATTTTGTTTATCTGCTTGCAATTTTACCTAAAATGCGTGTCATATTTGCAGAGTTACCATTTTGTTTACCATTTCTCAGATCAAATCTGTTTCTAGATTTAGCTTGGTCAGTTCAATTTACTTGGTTTCTTGTTGTGAAGCATGTATTTGGTATCTCCAGATTGCCTGTCGTATGTATGGTCAGCTAAAAGGAGAAAGGAGTAGAGAAAAAGTTAAATAAATTTGAACTTCTTCTATGTGTTGAAAATATTTAACCATATTGTGTTGATTATTTAGTTAATAAGCTAAGTATCAGTCAGTTATTAACTTAGTGATTGGTAGGCACTAGGTGTGGAGTGTAGATGATGCAAGGTAACTTCTCTATTAGAAGATTAGTTAGAAGGGAATCTAATTGGTTTGATCACCTCTTTAATTTCTTTTCCATTAGATTAAAATTTAGCGTTATCGATACTATGACAAATTATCCTAAATAGAATCCTAGGTTGTATTGTCACATTACATTCTTGTAATGAAAATATTCGGCACTTTCTGAAGTTGAGTATCTGATTGTGAGATATTCAATTACTTCATTGTGGATGGTAGAATTTGAAAGCCTAGTAATTTGTATAGGCAAACTGAAAAGAACCAAGTTGCATACAAGATTCCAGATTCAACATCATGAACTCTAGGACGACAAGTGACATGTATGGCAGTATTTCTTTTTCCAGTTTTAAGCTTGCTATGTTTGAGTAACATATTTTCCAATCTCCATAGGACTATGCTTAAAGTTTTTATAATATGATTGCTATATCTCATCAATTTCAATGATTATTTGTGTTGTTCAGATCAATTCTTCTGGTTACTATAATTGACCACAATATTAATTATCTTCAGGGTTTAACGTGGAGACTGTTGAGTATAAGAACATTAGTTTCACCGTGTGGGATGTTGGTGGTCAGGATAAGGTATGAAATTTTCACATTCAGATTAGCTCCAATTTCAAGGGAGTTACACCAATTTAATGCTTTATATTATAGTTCTTTTCACTATGTAATGCTAGAAGCTTTTGTTCTTTGTTGCAGATTCGTCCATTGTGGAGGCATTACTTCCAAAATACACAGGGTCTCATATTTGTGGTGGACAGTAATGATAGAGACCGTATTGTTGAGGCTAGGGATGAATTGCACAGGATGTTGAATGAGGTATGACAGTTACTTTCAAGGATCCATGGTAATCTTTTGCCTTTGCTGTTTATGTATTTTGTTTATGTCATTTTATGCTTTCATTGGAATGCTGCATACAGCAGCTGCCACTAGTAACCAAAGTTAGATTTAAGGGCAATACTTATGAGACATGGTTGACATGTTCTTCCCTGTTACATGAATTGTTTATATGACTAAGCTCTATAAATCAAATGTGCTAGAGAAAAGTTTCAGGATCTAGTAATGAATATTGTATATGAAGCCTTAATTTTTGGAGACCAGTGATTCATTTTGTGGTCAGTACATTATCATCATTTCTAACATGATTTTTACTTACTGTATAAAAGGGAAAATTTTAAGTAATGACATTGGTATCATTAAAGGGAGATTTATTTATTTTGGGGACATGTTCTCTAAGACATTTTACTTATAGAACCAAGTCAGTAATGACACCATTAGGTCTTGTTCTAAGAAACAAAATGGTAAAAATAATGTTTACCTACTGAATTATGTTGTTGATGCAGCACAAATTGTGCACAAAAAATGGGTTCTGTTCAGGGTAAACTAACCAACCACTTGAAACAAGCTTGCCTTGCATTAAGATTTTTACCTTCTTTCATGTCAATGATTTGCATGCTATATAAGAAACTACATATTGCTGAGATGAACTGAATCTCTTGCTTTGGGCTATCTTTTGCAACTTAATTTTTGCTAAATTTTTCCATTGTTACTGTTTTCAGGATGAGCTGAGAGATGCAGTTTTGCTTGTATTTGCAAACAAGCAAGATCTTCCAAATGCAATGAATGCTGCTGAAATTACTGATAAGCTTGGCCTGCATTCCCTTCGTCAGCGTCACTGGTATGCTTTCTCATTGCATTTACGTGCTGCAATTTTCATTTATCCTTTTGTTTCATGGCATCTAAAGGCAATGGTCTTTGCAGGTACATCCAGAGCACCTGTGCCACCTCTGGTGAGGGGCTTTATGAGGGTCTTGATTGGCTTTCCAACAACATTGCAAGCAAGGTAGGAATGGGTACTTGTTGAGATCTTCAGTGATCTTAATATGCAACCTTTGTAGTTTTGATGTGTATTACTTTATTACTATATGGTTAAACTGACAAATGTTTGTAATATTTTACATTGTCAAAGAGTTTCGACCTGTTCCCTCAAACCTAAGTTGTGACTGCACTTATTATTATTATTTTTTTATAAAAAAAAAAAAAAAAAGCTGTCAACTATAGATTCTAGATGTGAGTTTTAGACCGACTGTAAAACCTTTTTCAATTATCTTGTTCTTATAACTATAGTTCTTTAATTGCAGGGCTGAAGGAACTTATGGGAGTTTTGCAAGATGGAAATTCTGGATGCAGGGGTGAATATTATCTAGTTTTTTTTTTTCTTTTTTTTTCTTTTTTTTTTTTTTTTTTCTGTTGAGACAGTTGGGTTGTGGTTATGCCTTTTTCTTTTGGGTAAGAGCCTTAAATTTAGGACCTCCTTATGGATATATATTGTAATAGAAATCTGGATGGTGGAACATATACCTTTTGATGCTATACTTCTGGTTGCAAACAAAATTAAGTCAAAAACATCTTTTTGAAATTAGTTTTATACCATTGTTGTTTTCAGTTTTGGCCAGGGAGGCTTCCAATCAGTGTTTCTTGAACCAGATGTTTGGTTTTCACTTTGTAGTTTCACTTGTGCTTGAATTTTCCAAAAGCTGATTCCGTTTGTTTCATGGCAAGTTCTGCCATGATATATGTGAGATTGAACTGGACGGTAACATGCTTATGCAGAGATCCGATTTCTGAAGATGTAGGTGTCATTTAGCTTTGCAATGGTGTCTTGCCCATTAAAGATAGTGGGTTTTTCTGCCTTTAGCTTGTACAAAAAGGACACATACTGACCACACGAACAGGAAATCTTGTGGGAGACTATTCATGTGGTATCCAACGAATCATTTAACAGTTGGTGGCTGGTCTCTCTACCACGGTCAAGATCTCCTCTGCCTCAAGGAAGTCCCTTTCTTTTGTTAGCAAGTTGGACAGGGTATATTCTGAATCAAATCCTGGAACACCAGAAAACTAGAGCAGTTTTCGAGAGGTGTAGGATCAAAAGAGAAGTGCGTGATTTATGAGGAGACGGCAATTCACTTTAATTATTCCTGTCTTCTTCGAACACACAACTAGAATTTTGTTGTCATCGTACTCTGCCAATCACTTCCAAGCCATACCTGAACTGAAAGGGGAGTTATAAGGTGAAGATTAAGCCTTAAACATTAAGCACCCTTTGTTTTCGTCACTTTCTGTTCTTCCCAACTCCAGTCTTTGTTGGGTCCCTCCACAAGATGATGCCTGACAATCTAAAATACAATCACTGTTTAGGTCCACATGAATAGTATCCATGCATGTAAACAAAAGCCAAGTGGGTGTTTCTTTTCTTTCTTTGTAGTTTTCTAAGAGATGGAATGAGCACGGATCAGAACCCTACCTCATCCATGTTCTGCATCCCTTGTCTTCTTTTTGGCCTTTTAGGGTGAGTTTAGCAAATGATTTCCAAAAAACAAAAAATAATAATAATAATAAATTCATTCTTATGTCAATGATTTGCTCTTCCAATTGCGTTACATGAGTGAAACAGCTTCAAATTTTCAACAGTTTTAAGGTTTCTTTAGGTATGCTAAATAAATACATAAAGTACTGTACGAAGCTATGCAAAAAAGAATACTTTAAAAAGTAAAATATCAAAGGATACCTTTGTTAGCTTGTTTTCTTTAAAAATAAATAATAATAATAATAATAATAATAAAAACAAATCTTTAGTGAGAATTAGAAAAAGAAGCGATTAGGATTTGATAGCTTCCAACTTTTTGCTTGTTTTTGAAAAATAGGTTAAATGCCAAATTTTAGCCCAAAACTTTTCATTTTGATACATTTGGTTGCTGAACCATTTTCAACTCTTTTTTGGCTCCTCAACTTTACAAATTTTTTTTTTTTGTCATTCTATCAATTAAATAATAATGTAACCATTAACTTATTTCAAATTTTATTTTCCTTCAATTTTTTGATGACACATTTATTATAAATGGATCACTTAGCTTAGTTGTAGAAAATACATAAAGTTTATATTGACAATTTTAGCTTAAATGAATCAAATAATAAATTAAAAAACAACAAAGGTATTTACCAATTAAATTTTTTTAATAAATTAAAATATTAAAACTTATAAAATGATAAAAATATCTTTACAAATTTCTTCTTCCTCTTTAGATATCATTTTTGAACATTACGTGTCTACATAAATTAATTTAATAACATGTTATTATCCCACCATAAAAATAATATCATTTTAAATTAAATTAACAGTTACATCAGTATGTAAATAACAAAAAAACAAAAAAAAAAAAATACAAACCAATAATTTGTAGATTTAAGGAACCAAAAAAGTGTTGAAAATATTCAGAGAGCAAAAGTATTCAAAATGAAAAGTCAAGGATTAAAATTGATATTTAACCGAAAAAATTATTAATTGGCTTAAGTGCTCAAACAAATCTTCCTGGGATCTTACTTCATTAAAGTTTGACGATAATTCTTTCTTTTAATAAAGTTATCCACCGTAATTTGCACGACTTCAGTATTCTTCCAAAGCAAAGCACATTCATCTGCAATGGAATATTTATAACATAAAA